AACCAGCAATTAGTTGACCCAGATGACCTGAGAAAATAGGAAACAATTTCCATGTACTTACTGGTGAGCCTATTGATCGAGTCTTTTCATTTTTAATCAACTTCTCTTTTTTCTTTGTTCTTATTATGCCAGAACAAAGGATCCTCTATCGATCACCCTTTCTTCACCTCTCTGATGCGTTTCTCAGGTCATCTGGGTCAACTAATTGCTAGTTTGTCCTTATGTGAACCTCTGGATATCAGCCAACATTTTGTAAATCAATGAAACTTCAATTGGCTGTTTGTTACGTGGGAAAGATCTCCGCAGTGGTTTAATGGAGTAGCTGTAATGGCATTTGCCGCCGTCCCCTGCAAGGACAAAGCACATTTTCGGAGAGTACAAATTCAAATCATTTTGAAAAGTACTTTTATGTAGTAATGTTCTGCATACATTTTTTTATTAATCTAAACCATAATAGATGGTTAAATTTCAATGTCATTTTGAAGTACAATGTGGGGGGTGAGACCTGCTGTTTGTTTCCTGCGCTTTGCTTTCTGGTCATGTCAATAGTAAATGGACATCCAAGTAAAGACAATGAACTTTAAGTCAATTAGGATGCAAATTACAAGGGTCCACATAAGCTTTGAACAAAAGGATATATAGGGGGCTAGAAGTACATACATCAGGGTTGGGCAACATTGGCTGACTTTCAGATCATGAGCTGGAATTTAAAGTGAAAATCACTGAATTGCAATTGAGCAATAAAGATTACATCTATAATTTAAGATGCAGTATAATAAAATAGTAAAAATGTACAATACTTATGCATATTTTTCAGCTGATTAGACATATGTGACCCTGGACCACAAAACCAGTCATAAGGGTCCATTTTTATACAGAAATAAGCTTTCCATTGACGTATGGTTTGTTAGGATAGGACAATATTTGGCTGAGATGCAACTATTTGAAAATCTGGAATCTGAGGGTGCAAAAAAATCTAAATACTGAGAAAATCGCCTTTAAAGTTGTCCAAATTAAGTTCTTAGCAATGCATATTACTAATCAAAAATTCAGTTTTGATATATTTATACAGTAGGAAATTTACAAAATATCTTCATGGAACATGATCTTTACTTGATGTCCTAATGATTTTTGATGTCCTAAAGAAAAATCGATAATTTTGACCCATACAATGTATTTTTGGCTATTGCTACAAATATACCCCAGCGACTTAAGGTTTTGTGCTCCAGGGTCACATTTTTATCTAAAAAAAGTTCAATACAGTCAAATAAACACACAGCACCACAAAAGAAAAAATTTCCACCATTGTACACAATAATATTACACAATAATATTGTGTATAAAATATAATATAAATACTGCTTGTTTGGGGTCAGTTTTGTTTTTTAATCAGTCTCACCAAGCTCACTAAGGATGCCTTTATTTGATCAAAAATATATTATTATTAAAGTATTAATACATTATTATTATTATAAAATATTAGTTCAGTTTCAAAGAACTGTTTTATATTTTAATATATTGTAAAATGTAATTTATTCCTGTGATCAAAGCTGAATTTTCAGCATCATTACTCCAGTCTTCAGTGTCACACGATCCTTCAGAAATCAGTATAATATGCTGATTTGATGCTCAAGAAACATTTCTAAATATTATCAATGTTGAAAACAGATGTGCTGCTTCATATTTTTGTGGAAACTGTGATACATTTTTTAAGGATTCTCTGATGAACATGTAACATAAATGTATTTAATGTCACTTTCGATCAAATTAATGCATCCTTGCTGAATGAAATTATTTAAAGTAATAAAAATATTTTCTTGATAAAATAAAACTTGACTGGAAGTGCATTACTCTTTTTATTTTAAAATATGTATATCAATATTTACAGCATATAGCATATACTCAAGAGTATGATGACATGTTTCTGGGGAACTAATACAAAAATCTGTTGAAAACCACACTTACGCCAGTTTATGTATTTGTTTTATTATTTTCATCATTATAAATTTAATAATTATGTATCTACTATCAGTGTTGGGGAAAGTTACTTTTCAAAGTAATGCATTACAATTGTGTTATACTCCATAAAAAAGTAACTAATTGCGTTGCTTAGTTACTTTTAATGGAAAGTAATGCATTATGTTACTTTTGCGTTACTTTTTTTTCACCTGAGCTGGGCTTGCTTAACACTGGGACAGGAGATGTGTCAGTAAATAAATGGGGAAAAAATGTAACTAGCGTGTGTAACTTATTAGAAAAAGTAACTCAGATATTTCATTGTAAATTTAAAAGTAATGCGTTACTTTACTAGTTACTTGAAAAAAGTAATCTGATTACATAACTCCCGTTACTTGTAATGTGTTACCCCAACACTGTCTGCAATACTTTGAACACACCAAAACATACTCATGGACTTCCACTTTTAGGTTTCGCCATACCATGGGAATGTGGATTTCACACAATAAATCTCTCTCAGGTATAATCTGCCTCTGACCCTCGTTCACCCATTTTTTTCCACTGCTGTTCTCTCCCTCTTCCTCCCAGGCGTTCTTTCTCTTTCTCTTTCTCTTCCTGATTCATTGTTCAAGGTTAGGTGTGGAGGAAAACCAAAGCCAAATGCGCCATGGGAACAGATCAAAGAGAATAATTCCTTTCCTGTTCCTCTCCCCTTTACCTCCTCCTTGGGCTCCACACACGTGATGTGTTTCAGTCCTGGCCTGTGCATTCACAAAACAGGATTACGTTTTAGTCCTGATTATCACAGGGTGGCATACAAAGGACACATGTCTGAAAGAATCCCAGGCAGAAATCGTTATGTCTCAATAATGAAAGACACAGACCTCAGAACTGTACGTGTTCTGTAAAGCTTCTCTGGTCTGGATGGACAAAACATGAAATCTGTGCATTTCTGTAACAACATAGCACTACAAGATGTAGATGAGTTTGTTTCTTCATTGGAACAGATCTGGAGAAATGTAGCATCATATCACTCTGTCACCAATGGATGCTCTGCAGTGAATGGGTGCCGTCAGAATGAGAGTCCAAACAGCTGATAAAAACATCACAATAATCCACAAGTAATCCACACTATTTCATTCCATTGTTTTATATCTTGTGAGGTGAAAATCTGTGTGTTTGTAAGAAACAAATCCATCAATAAAATGTTTTCACTTCAAATACCAGTCCATAATCCATAATATTGCTTCCTGAAAAGTCCATCACCTCCATATTTGTTTAGAGCTGTTTTGGACTGTTTTCACTTCTAAACGGTGCTTGATCTGTGCATATTTCTCTCCTGATTCAGACGAGAGTACTTTTTCACCGGCGATATAGGACTGGTATTTTAGCCAGAAACAACAGTTATATGTATATGTATATATATATTACAGTTATAATAAATGTCTTAATGATGGATTTGTTTCTTACAAACACACAAATTTTCACTTCACAAGACATTGATGGATTGGAGTGGTGTGGGTTACTTGTGGATTATTGTGATGTTTTTATCAGCTGTTTGGACTCTCATTCTGACGGCACCCATTCACTGACAAAGTGAATTGAGAAAGTAAATAGGGTCATGTGAAGAAGTTTGTAACTGAAAGCTCAGAAAGCTTGTAACAATGTTGTACAATATGTGCTAATGGTATAAAAATCTCCTGAACTTTCTAACATTTTACGTAAATTGAGAGTGGCGGTTGAGCTTTATGTCTGCCAATTCTTTTGACATTGACGTCACATCAGTAAGGGCAATAAAGAAGAATGGAGAAAACTTTCATTCATATTCAAGTCTGACTGCCAGCTCTTAGGCCACTGAAAGCAAGGGATTTCATATTGTATTTGAATAAGTTGAGTGTTAAACGCAGTCTGGTTCGGCAGGCATTTCTGTTTGAATCTATAAGCTTTCAAGAACTGTCTTCACATCCACGCTGATTTTCCTGATGTTGTAGGCACATTTATTAAATTGACCTGCCGAAAGCCCTCGAGTCTGATGTGACAGTGTCTGCTCTCATTATCGTCTCCATAGCTGGAGCTTTGAGGTGGTGTGAAGATGGCTGATACATCCCAAGTGATGAAATATGATCTTAAAATTAGCTGTTTACTTCCACTGATATGCACAGAATGATTTTATTTAACATTCATAAGCACAGATTGAACTTTAAAATATGAACTGTACTGCTCAATGAATGATTCTTGAAGCTCCATTAAAAACTGTAAAATGCTTTAAAGGTCTTTTTACTCGTTCAAGTTTTAACATTAAATTTTACATTTTTATTTGAAAGTACTTAAAGAACTATTTAAAGTGAGACAGACAGACAGACACCAAACAGACAGTTTTTACACTTTTCAGGGGAATTAGACTGCAAATGGTTAACATTTAACTGGTTAACTTTTAATTGTCTCGACATATTTAGCTATAATAACAGTAAGTATTCTAGTACTAAAATACAAACGTTTAAGTGTTGTTCTGAAATACTTGTCACCGTAGAAATCAAGCCTCTGCTGCCCTCTGTAGATGAAACTCACGTTGATGAGGTACTGTCTTCAAATGGCCCAAAGCTTTATAAATATACTTTTCATATTAGCCCAAAATATCTATTTTTCTATTAAAAGGACTAACTCAATCAAAAATCCTAAAGGATGCGTACAGATCAGGATAGCTGGAATTCAATCATAATTTGAAACCAACAGGATCCTAGTAGCAACAAATAATAGCAAGTAATTATTTGATTCTATAACAAATTTGAAATCGAGTACATATGCTTTAGGATAAAAGGGAAGGTTTAAGTCCACCAACATACACAGTATTTTAAGAGTTTTTTGTTGTTTTTTGCGTGTTATATCATCTTGTTTCTGTTATGACAGAACCATGTAACTCAAAACAAAAGCACAAAGAGCAGGTGAATTTAGGTCAAGTTACTTCACACCGCCCGTCCTGTGAGGGCGCTATAGGGCAACTACAATATTTTAAAAGAAGACTTTCATGTCACCGGAAGCGCGTCTGTTGTTGTGCCGGAAGTGAAGCGTGTTGTCGGCAGCGCAACGATGGCGAGTGCTACAGCGAAACAACCCGCGAAAACTGCAAGCAAAGCCGCGTCCGGAGGGACCGGCGGAGCCGCAGTGGGAGCACCGGCGATGCCGCTCGCCTCTCCGCTCATGGGCGGCTTGAATAAGAAGAAGAAGCCGTTTCTCGGCATGTCTGCGCCGCTGGGTTACGTGCCCGGTCTGGGTAGAGGGTGAGAAACCAATACATACATACATATAATAATCACGACAGTCTAAAAACTGTAAGACAGCTCACTCACTGCATAAATCACTGTGTTAATAATTATAATAACACGCCTGATTTCCAGGCAGCTGTATAAAGTTAAGAACGCTGTGTTGTGTTGTTTCGTTGATGCGTAATTTGTTGTCTTGATGTTGTTGTAACGTGTTACGTCTTGTGTTGTGCTGTGTTTGTGTTATTTTATAGTAATATGTTATGTTTTTATGTTTTAAGATGTCTTGTAATTTACACTACTTTGAAACTTCGGTAAAAAGTTTCCAAGGCTGCATTTATTTGATCAAAACTCGGCATGTCTGCGCCGCTGGGTTACGTGCCCGGTCTGGGTAGAGGGTGAGAAACCAATACATACATGCATATAATAATCACGACGGTCTAAAAACTGTAAGACAGCTCACTCACTGCATAAATCACTGTGTTAATAATTATAATAACACGCCTGTATAAAGCTGTATAAAGTTAAGAACGCTGTGTTGTGTTGTTTCGTTGATGCGTAATTTGTTGTCTTGATGTTGTTGTAATGTGTTACGTATTGTGTTGTGCTGTGTTTGTGTTATTTTTTAGTAATATGTTATGTTTTTATGTTTTAAGATGTCTTGTAATTTACACTACTTTGAAACTTCGGTAAAAAGTTTCCAAGGCTGCATTTATTTGATCAAAAATACAATAACATTTTACAATTTAAAACAATTGCTTTCTATTTGAATACATATCCAAATGTAATTTATACCTGTGATGCAAAGCTGAATTTTCTGCAGCCATTACTCCAGTTAAAAATTAAAGTCTTTTCAACTATAATAATAAGAAATGTTTATTGAGCAGCAGATCAGTATATTAGATTGATTTCTGAAGCATCATGTGACACTGAAGACTGAGTAATGATGCTGAAAATTCAGCTTTGCATCACAGAAATAAAATGCATTTTTAAATATATTCAACTAAAGAAACAGTTATTTTAAATTGTAATAATATTTCACAATATTACTGATTGTACTGTATTTTTGATCAAGCAAATGCAGCCTTGGTAAGCATAAGAGGCTTCTTTCAGTTACATTAAAAATGGTCACTATTCCAATCTTTTGACCGGTAGTACATGTCGTAGTATCTTATGTTATGTACCGAGTTGTGACGTGTTGTGCTCCTCAGTGCCACAGGTTTCACCACGCGATCTGATATCGGTCCCGCTCGCGATGCCAATGACCCAGTAGATGATCGGCACGCACCCCCTGGGAAGAGGACGGTGGGCGATCAGATGAAGAAAAACCAAGAGGATGATGACGAGGATCTGAATGACACTAACTATGATGAGGTACACCTGCAGTTCATCATGAATTGTGCTGAGGAGGGTCATGTTGACCTGTTCCCCTATATGACTGCATGCAAAAGAATATACAAAATTCTGTTTAATAAATATAGGGATTGATTGAGACCACATGTGTCTGGCAGTGAAAGGAAAAGCACTTATTTTATGTCCTTTTATTGGTAACTTTTTAAGATATAAAACTTCATATGTACTGTTATCCTGAATCTCTTCCTCTGTATCCTCTAGTTCAACGGCTACGCAGGCAGTTTGTTCTCCAGTGGGCCGTATGAGAAAGATGATGAGGAGGCGGATGCCATCTACGCCGCACTGGATAAGCGCATGGATGAGAGACGCAAAGAAAGAAGGTGAGTGTGAACTTTCTTCTCTCATCTACACTTGTTTGTTTTTATGTAGTGTCTCTTGGCTTATTTTGTTGATGTATCTGCAGGGAGCTGCGAGAGAAAGAGGAGATAGAGAAATACCGTATGGAGCGGCCCAAAATTCAGCAACAGTTCTCAGACCTGAAGGTTTGTGTGTAACTTGGTGGGCATTGTCCTGCTGAATTATGATTTGTTTGTCAAAATGTTTCCCTAGCTACTTTGTCCTATAAATAGTATTTGGAATTTTAGTTTGAACTGTCAGAATTTTAAAGTGCCCCTATTATGGGTTTTGAAAGGTTCATATTTTGGTTTTGGGAGTCCCCAACAACAGGTTGACATGCATGCAAGGTCAAAAAACACTTCCATTGTCTTATAATATGCATTTATTTTTACCTTACTTGCTCAACGACTCCCAAACGATTCACTCAACGATTAATTTTTCCAAACCCCTCCTTTGCGTGACGCTAATCTGCGGTGATTGGTCGATTGGTTTCATTTCATCTTGCCTGTAATGCTAATAAAGCAGCGTTTGTGAGCGCAGTGCTGCTTTGTGTACAGCCGTTACCGGAGAAACCGCTATTTTTACCTCTCCAAAAGCGCACCTAGTGGCAAAGAATGAATTAGCATTTTCATTCAGACCAACAAGTGGGCGGCAATATGCTAATGTTTCATGTTGAGGTCAACATGGGATTCCTTTTAAAAAAGACTCGTTTCAATGATTCAGAGTCGACTCTTTCTTTTGAGAGACAATAACTTTATATACGGTGCACTTTCAGATTTAAAACGTTGCAGGATGTTTTCGTTCACTTAGAGCTGCTGTGTTACACACTACAATGACTGCATGAAAGGTAATTTTCAAAAATCCATAATTGGGGCACTTTAATATTACTAAATAATAATGGTAAAAATCAACAGTTGGTGTTCAGAATCTAATAAAGCAGCGTTTGTGAGCGCAGTGCTGCTTTGTGTACAGCCGTTACCGGAGAAACCGCTATTTTTACCTCTCCAAAAGCGCACCTAGTGGCAACGAATGAATTAGCATTTTCATTCAGACCAACAAGTGGGCGGCAATAGGCTAATGTTTCATGTTGAGGTCAACATGGGATTCCTTTTAAAAACGACTCGTTTCAATGATTCAGAGTCGACTCTTTCTTTTGAGAGACAATAACTTTATACACGGTGCACTTTCAGATTTAAAACTTTGCAGGATG